TTATGCGAGCGTGTTGCCGGGGGAGCTGATGCGGGGTTATATGAGTCAGTTTCCGACCTTTCCCAGCTGGTTGGGCAAGTTCTCATCAGCTGGCAAACACAGGCGCATCATACAGGAGCTTGCTTCACACATGAGCCTAAAGTGAGAAAACACAAACACTTCTCACACTTTCTTCCGTCTTGTCTAAAGTATGAACTCTTTAAGCTGCATTTATGCTTCCCTAAAATCTTGCCTCTTTCTCATCCTGCAGAACGTTAAGTAGTAAGGAAGCCATAAATCTGGATTACCTGCCGTATTTGCACTCAGCAATATTAGAGCCTCTTCAGTCGCAAGGTTCAGAGGGAGCCAGTCAGAGCGTGAATCTCATGGATGATTACAACATCATCAAAGAGGATGTTGATAACATGATGGAGATCAGCTTGTGGGGCGGACAGCCGGATCCTTACTCTAAACTAGACTCCAAGGTGTGTGTGTGTGTTTGATTTTCTGAGCATATTGTAGAGTTCTCCTCCAGGACTAGAAACCGGTGGTCCAGTTGACAGTTCATTGCTTTGACAGATGCCTGCTCCGTCCGAGTTAATTGTTTTAACTGTAAAACATCTGGAGGTGCTGTATGCCACACTTTATCCCCATCAGCTGTTTTTTTCCCCTTTCTGCAGGTGAAAGCTGCATTTACAAGAGCCTACAATAAGGAATCCCATCTTACGCCGTACTCCTTACAAGTGGTGAAGAAAAGCCGCAAAGGTGCTGTTGACCCTGAGCTTATAGGAGAGCTTGAAAGTGAATCTCAGTTCCAGGAAGAGGAAGAAGACAATGGGGTTACAGCAGATGCAATGATCAAGGTAGATATCAAAATAAGAATTCAGTGTCTCTCTTTTCGACTTTCCATCAGTTTTACAATCACGTTGACCTCAATAACATCTCCTTTGGAGAACACTTAATGGGTTAGTTCAACCAAAAATAAACATTTTGTCATCATTTACTCACCCTCATGTCATTCCAAACCTGTATAAGTTTCTTATGTTGAACAGAAAAGATATTTTGAAAATGCTGGTAATCAAACAGTTGATGGTCCCCATTGAGTTCCATAGTATTTATTTTCGCTACTGTGGAAGCCAGTGGTGACCAACAACTGTTTGGTTCTTCAAAATTCTTCAAAATATCTTTGTGTTCAACATAATAAAGAAACTTATACAGGTTTGGAACGACATGAGGGTAAGTAAATGATGACAGAATGTTCATTTTTAGGTGAACTATTCCTTTAATCGCTAAGTTCACCCCACAATGTAAATTCTTTCATCACTTACTTTCATGTTGTTCCAAATTCTTAAGGCTTTCCTTCAACTAGGAAACACAAATGAAGATATTTTTAATGAAACCTGTGAGTTCTATCCCTCCATCAAAAGTCAATGCAACCAGACCTTTGTCACTTCGAAATATTCATAAAGACATTGTAAACCGTCAATATGCATCAAGTTTAACCCTTGTCTTCTAAAGAGACTTGATTGCTTTATATGGTGGTCAGATTTAGATTTAGTCATTTAGCAGACGCTTTTATCCAAAGCGACTTACAAATGAGGACAAATTACAAGACAGGAGATTTTTAGAAAATGTAATACAATTTTTTTGGGAGGAATATTGAAATGTTAATTAGTTCACCCAAAAATGCTAATTGTCAGCATTTACTCATGCCCATGTCGTTCCAAACCTGTGGCCTCCTTTGTTTCTTGAAAAATAAAATGTGAATTTTTGAAGAATTTTTCACTTTTTTTCCCATACAGTTGTATAGGAAAGAGATTCAAGCTCTCAAGCATAAAAGTACAATAAAAGTAGTTCATATGCCTCATGCTCTATATTCCAAATCTTCTGAAACCACTGTAACCGGTTCACAAAGTCAGTGAGTTAAGAAAGTTGAGAAACAGATTTGTCTCTTAAAGCCATCTTAAAGTGGCTGCTTTTATGATAATGTTTCATTAGGAAGTTTCCAGGGTTTCCATCCAAAGTTGCAAATTTAACATGCGCAAAACTGGAATATTGCATAAAACATTTGCGAACAAGCATAGTTTCCATTCAACAAGTCAAAGAGAACAAAATCATCACTTCCTGATAAACTGGCACTATAAATCACTATAAAAAGAAGGAGAATATAATAATTTTCATATATAATAAATTACTTGCGCCTCAGAGTGAGCAGACAAAACACAATGAATGCGGTCATTGCTTTCGGAGGTGGAAGCTGCTGTTTGGAGAACGCAGTCATGTAAGACATTTCTGGGTTAGCGAGTTATACAGAAATACTTTGATGACAGACTTTGCTCGTGCATTTCTGAATGACCATAACAACATTTCAGATGCTGTGGAATGAGATCGGTCCGCTTGTTAGTCAGGTTTTGCCGTCCCATAGCGCAAAGTCGCATGCTTTCTTTAATGCGCCTGGAGGAATTTATTCGCAAAATGCATTTCCATCTCCCATTATTCGCATCAACCCTTTTTCGCACAAGTCAAAAACCACCTCAAGCGAGCGTAAAAACTTTTTTGCGAATTAAGGTATTTTTATTCTAAATTTGGCGATTCCATCACTCATTTCTCATTGCGATACTTCAAAATGCGCTTTAAAACAGGGTGACAACAGCTTGAAACCTTCAGTCTGGTTTTAATTGAAAAGGTGAAAGTTTGGAACAACATGAGTGTGAGCAAATTATGACCTTTTTTAAATTTGGGGTGAACTATCCCTTTTGATCAGTTATAGTTTGTAGAAATCACAAAGTTTATGCTACAGAATTTTAGCCAAGTTGATTTTGTTACCAATAAGAGTGTAGTGCTTTCAGCAACATTTTACCATGTGTAAATTCATTCTGTAAAATTCCACATTTTCCCCCGAAATCAGCACAGAAAATGCAGATACAGTCTACATCAGGTCCTACATATAAGCGAAATATCATAACAAATCAGTCAAAATGCTACACCATTATTCACCTGATTTCTGTTTTTTTATTCTTACAGCAGAAGAAAGCTAAACCAGCAAAAGACGTCAAGCAAGAGAAACCAGGGGCTTCTGGGAAGGGGAAAGGCAGGGGTAAAGGAAAGGCCATGAAATGAGTTAAACATAGAAGTGAACGAGACAGAAAGTCCTCCTCTCTCTCTGTTTTCACAAAGATGTGAGTGGCTGAATGACGTCAGCTCTATACACAGAACTTTTTTTGTCTGTGAGTCATACTTGTGCACTTCCTGAAAGCCATCACTCAGCTTAAGCTGCTTTCAGCAGAGCGGACACTGCAGGGACCAGGAGCTGGGGGTGGACCACACATTTTCACAGAAGTTATTATATAGTTCACGGTTCATTAAGCATACACACATGCATCATACTGTTAACACATGGCGCTGAAGCTATATTCATCTTAAAGGTAAACAGAATTAAGGGCACTTAATGTCACTGTACTCGTGTAACCCTCATGACAAAGTACACAAGCATTTTAATATATTAGCTTCAGCTTTTCACATTTAATCACACATACACCCTCTTCCACATGGATACCAACTGTACTTGCTGCATGTCAGCTAGCGACCACACATCGTGTATATATGTATCTGCCATATTAGCATTTTTCCCTTTGTTACTTTGAATACTTGCAGATAAATATATATAAATAACCCCTTTCTTAGTGTTTTCTATTGCAGTACTTTTGGATTGATAGTGTCTGATATTAACCTGAAGATTATCCTGTAAAAGACTGAATGTGTGCGATTCAAAAATTAAAACGAGAATTATGTTGTAGAGATGTATTGTGTTTGCTTGTTATAATTATCTCCAAGTGTTGATCAGATGGTAAAAAGAGCTCAACTACTGTAATTGCTGTTATATATCTGGGTAAACGGCTCACTGCATAGCTCCAGGTATATATATATATATATATACTGTATATAAAATTTCAGTATTGCACTTTCAGTACTTCATTTGTAGTCTAACATGAAGACTTTAATACACAATTATTTACTGCAATAAAATAATTTATTTTGTATACAGATAAATTTACAGTAGAAAAAGAAATCTATGAGCTGATGAATGTTGATTGTCATGTTAAAGAACAGTGAAGCACTGCCTTACATGGAATACATCTGACAACATATACAGACAATAATTATACAGCTATAATTGTTCATTATTGAGTTAGTCAGAAAATTTTGCTATATATTAGTCTTGCTTAAAATAGTTTTTTTTGCATGATTTGACAACCTAAATGTGTAACTGAACCACACTTATGAATAACTATGCATAATGTGAGCTCTTAGCACTAACTATGCCAGTTATATGTTTAAAGGCTGAAAGTGGACATTAGTGGTAAAAATCTGTGTTGTGAAGCAATACAGTACAAAAAAAAAGCTGATATGTGTAAAAGAATCACAGTTTAGCACAATGGTTCTCAACCGTTTCATTTCATGAAGCTTGAAATTATTTGTGGATAATTTACACACACACACACACACACACACACACATATATATATGTGTGTGTGTTTGCTGTCAAATCGATTAATATCCAAAATAAAAGTGTTTACATTATATAGGCGTGTACTGTGTATATTTATATGTATATATAAATACACACATGTATACATTTAAGAAATATTTACATATATATATGTATATTCATATTTATATGATTTATATTATACATAAATATATTTCTTAAATGTATACATGTATGTGTGTGTGTGTTGATATATGCATATAAATATACACAGTGCACACATATTATGTAAACAAAAACATTTCTTATTTTGGATGCGATAAATCATGATTAATCGATTTGACATATATATATATATTCCACAATTTTATTTTCTATTTTGTTTTTCAATTAAATCAATATTAGGGAAAATGTTTTTTTTTCAAATCATATTTATATTTTATATAATTTATTCTATTTTTATAGTTATATTGTAATAGATTAGTTAATATATTAATATTAATAATTCTCATTTAAATAATTTAATAAAAGTCATCCTGCAGACCCCCTGGTTGAGAACCAGTGGTTTAGCACTAGTCTCTATTGGCTTCTCCCACGTTACACAAGTTGTCTGAGATATTTTTGCAATTAGAAAAGACTACATTTTGGGATCTTTTTGTTTTTGTTTTTTGAGAAACAGCTTGTAGAATCTCCAGCTGTAATCTAACAATCAGTAATACATCAGCTCCTTGAGGTCTATGCGAAACATCTCGACAGCACAGTGACATTATCAGCATGTTGATAGTTGTTTTGAGAGTACTTGTAGTGTAACTGCCCCGCTGGTTTGTCTAAGGAGCTCGACAGCTTCAGAATGAGTGACACCCTTCAGACTCTGTCCATTTACTGTCAGTAGCTGATCTCCGTGACGCAGACGCCCGTCCTCCACCGCAGCTCCCTGTGGAAACAGAGCACTGTCACATACGCTTCACGCTCAAATACACAAATAACAGTCCTTTCTCAGTGAGTCAGGTGGAGTGTGTACATGCCATGATACATGCAAACTGAACGTGTGTTTGGACATGTATTGATCTCTTTGGCGCACTGCAGTCAAGAGATTTACTCAACATTTTTTACTTTAAGACTCTTTCTTGTGTACCTTGGGAAATATGTTCTTGACATTGATGGGCAAGTCGCCATGGGAACTGCCAAATCCTCCTACAATACTGAAGCCAAGCCCAGCAGAGCCACGTTCAAGAGTGATAGTCTGGAACTGAGGAGAGCTTAAACACACACAAAAGACAAATAGAATTTAACCCATTTTCCCCCCCAGACACCCTTTTGGCAAACAAGGCGACAATTAATCTCTTAGTACAGTTAGAAAAATGAAAAAAAGCAAGCATAACACTTCTATTGAACAGGGTGTCTGAATAGTCTGAGTGCCCTGGAGGTGAAGTCCTTTATCAGAGCTTTAGTGTGTAGAATTCTGCTGACTCTAATGCCTCTACAAAACTGCACACGCAAACTGGCTCTAAAATATCCACAAGCAGGCGTTTCAGTAGAAATGTGCAATTTAAATATATATTTTATAGACTCATTGAAGGCAGCGTTGGGATAAAGCGAGTAATAAATCTTAAATGAAAGAATAAATCAGGACCATCAGCAGACCAGGAACATAGTTGACTAAAGTCCTGTATGATGTAACCTTCTTATTGGTTCCCACCCATAAAACTTTTGTCCTGGACCTATGTATTTGAGTGACAAAACGTTTCAGATAGAAAGGAAAATTAAAGCAAACGGCAATGAAATAAAAATGACTTACTAAAACATATTGGAGTGCTATACATACAGCTGAAGTCAAAGGTTTATATACAGCACACCTTGCAGAATCTGCAAAATGTTAATTATTTTACCAAAATAAGAGGGATCATACAAAATGTGTTATTTTTTTTATTTAGGACTGACCTGAATAAGATATTTCACATAAAAGATGTTTACATATAGTCCACAAGAGAAAATAATAGTTCAAAAGTTTACATACACTTGATTCTTAATACTGTGCTGTCACCTGAATGATCCACAGCTGTGTTTTTTTGTTAGTGATAGTTGTTCATGAATCCCTTGTTTGTCCTTTATTTCTGTGACGGGACGGCAATGCTAAATTTGGCCAGTACTCCAGTGTTCAGTGTCACATGACCCTTCAGAACTCTTCTAATATGCTGATTTCAAAATAATAAAATTTTTATTAAATATAAATCTTTTGTAAAAGCCTTTACTGTCACTGTTGATTATTTAATGCTTCCTTGCTGAATGAAAATACGCCAAATTTATAATTATACTTACTTATTATATTTACATATAACTTTCTTACAAATCAATAGAAATAAATAACAATAAAAAACTAATAACAGTAAATAAAAATGTTGCCAATACGATGTGAAACATAATATAAAATATAGTACTACATTATTTTTTCATGAGAAATGTTTTTATGTATTAGAAATTAATAAGATATTTCACATAAAATATGTTTACATATAGTCCACAAGAGAAAATAATAGTTCAAAAGTTTACATACACTTGATTCTTAATACTGTGCTGTCACCTGAATGATCCACAGCTGTGTTTTTTTGTTTAGTGATAGTTGTTCATGAATCCCTTGTTTGTCCTTTATTTCTGTGACGGGACGGCAATGCTAAATTTGGCCAGTACTCCAGTGTTCAGTGTCACATGACCCTTCAGAACTCTTCTAATATGCTGATTTCAAAATAATAAAATTTTTATTAAATATAAATCTTTTGTAAAAGCCTTTACTGTCACTGTTGATTATTTAATGCTTCCTTGCTGAATGAAAATACGCCAAATTTATAATTATACTTACTTATTATTATATTTACATATAACTTTCTTACAAATCAATAGAAATAAATAACAATAAAAAACAAATAACAGTAAATAAAAATGTTGCCAATACGATGTGAAACATAATATAAAATATAGTACTACATTATTTTTTCATGAGAAATGTTTTTATGTATTAGAAATGATATGAATTTCGAGTACCTCTGGTGATTGTGGGTATTGTAATTCTCTGAGAGTCCAGGTGAGGAGTGAATTAAAGATGACCGATCTTTACTAGCTCCATCTGCACATCCACTTGGCATCACCTTTAATCAAACACACAGGGTGTGACATTCATGGAAAGACGAGCTCTGAACGTTTGATTATGTTTTGAATCTGAAACGATTTGATACATGTCTGAAGATACACACCTGCAGTGTGACGGCTCCACTGCTGTTTCTCAGGAGAGTACTTGCTTCAGTAACTGAGAGGCGTTCAGTTGATGTACCGTTAATGCTGATGACTCTGGCACCCAGCTGAAAATTCAATTCAGAGTTGATTATTTTTGAGGGTTGTGGGAAGCAGTTCCCATGAATGGAGTATTCATTTTGGTGTCCTGTGAGTGACATTCACATTTTTTGTAGTAGGAACTATATATGTTAGAGAAACTAGTACCTAATAAAAAATGTTTTAATCTAGTAGGAAAATTGCTGTATACATTAATAAAATGGTCATTTCCACCTTGCATCTTGGCTACATACAAAAATATAAAACCATTAAACATCAATTCAACACATTTTCACAAAATGAATTGTAGTTAATTGAGCTAATTTTTTAACAAATATATATTTTCTCAATTTTTACACAAATTTCAGTCTTCACAGAATGTGCCTTAGCCTTGCTCAATCATTCAACCATATTACCCAAATCACTGTACAAAAAAAAAAATCTAAATACAAATTTGTATTGTGATTTATTGGAAATTTATATGGAAAATTTTTATATGCACTACTGTTCAGTAGGTTTGGCATCAGTTACATTATTTATGTATTTTTCTTTTAAGTAAAAGAAGTATCTTATGCTCACCAGGTCTGTTTTTTAAAAAAAACAATAATATTGTGAAATATTAAAATTTTAAACAGCTGTTTTCTATTCAAATATATTTTAAAATTGATTTTTTCAGGATTCTTTGACGCATAGAAAATTCAAAAGAACTACATTTATTTAAAAAAAAAGAGAAATCTTATGTAACATTATAAATGTCTTTACTGTCACATCCATGCTGGATGAAAGTAATCATTTCTTTCAGAAATTAAAAATTGACACCAACATTCTGAATGGTGGTGTACATATAGTTTGGTGTATATTGTGAGGTTGACAATGATCAACAATTTATTTTCTTTTTTTTAATTAGATTTATTTTAGACATTTCTGCCTTTATTGGGGCAGAGAAATGCCTGAAAGCCAGTGTTGGGGGTAACGCATTACAAGTAACGCGAGTTACGTAATCAGATTACTTTTTTCAAGTAACTAGTAAAGTAACGCATTACTTTTTAATTTACAAGAGAATATCTGAGTTACTTTTTCAAATCCCATTCTATTAACTAATGTCTTTGCTTCTGACCTTCGATGATCCAGTTCAACCATACTAATAAGCAAAAATTACTCTAGAGTCTAGACAGTCTTTTTTTATTGAAGTGTGTTGAAATTTCTTCTTCTGCATTCTACTGTACAGACGTAAATTTACTTTCCCTTCAGCCTGAGGCTTATTCATTTCACTTTTGGTGTGAAAATGCTTTTATATTTGCCAAAAATATAGCTTTTTTATTTTAAAAACAAACAAACAAGCCCTGTCCAGATTTAAGAAGTAAAGTAACCCATTACTCTCCATAAAAAGTAACTAAGTAATGTAATTAGTTACTTTTTTATGGAGTAACGCGATATTGTAATGCATTACTTTTAAAAGTAACTTTCCCCATCACTGCTGAAAGCCATGTGGAAAAGAGAACTGGGAAAGGACCATGAGTCGGGACTCAAACTTGGGTCTACAAAGTTGTAAAACATTTTGGAGAGCTGTCCACAAAGCAATCGACTCCAACATAAACATTTTCTAAACATAATGAAAAAGGGGGAAAAGGGGGTTTTAGGCCCACTCATTCTCTCTACCTGCAGAAGTCCTGTATGTGCTGCAGGTGTGATCGGGTCCAGGCTGGAGATACAAATCACTGAATCTCCCTGTGTGCCTCTCGATCTCAACTCCACAGACTCTAATTCATGCTGGGACAGAATCACACCAACCTTACGGTTACTACTGGATCATACAGTTACTGCAGAAACATGCCTTACATTACTGAATGTAAAAACAAACCCACCTTCTGAACGGTGACAGTTCTGATGTCCACGTTTCCATCCACAGCTGTGCAAAAACATGAAAACATTGACTCACTGATGAATAGAACTGAATATTGAATAGTGAATAATTGTGTGATGTGACAGACTCTTACAATCATCTGTGCTGAGAGAGGAGAGAAGAGGGACATCCAACTCGCCCAACTAACACAGATAGAACACAGACACTTTATAGATCGTGCCCTGTCTAGATCTGAGATGAACACCATTGAGACAAGTTGTGTTTGTGTGCTGTAAATATGTGTATAATAAGAGTATATCTCTATCATACAGTACCACACAAAAGTTTAAGGTTGGTAAGTTTTTTTTACAGAAGTCTTTTAAAGAAGTTAACGTCTAACATTACAAACTGTCTATTTATAAAAGGTATTATATAATAAGAGGTATTTCAGGTATTTTCTTCAGAATGTTTTAATCAATCATTTTGTTTAATTGGTCTTCCTTTTGAAATAATTTAGACCCATTCCTCAGTTCATAAAAATAAGCAAAACCAGGATGGTTTAGACAACTCTACAGATCTAATAATAAGCACTTTTCAATGCATAAGTAAAAAATAAAAAACAAACAAACTTTATATTTCTGGTTTTAAAACCCATATGTCAACATACCTCATTCACTCCCACTGTAAATTAGTTTTTGTTTTGTTTTTAGAGGTAAGTTGAAATTATTTCAACGCATCCCACAATTTAAGTTGTATTTGGCCTGTAATATTTCTTTGAAGGGTAGTTCACATAAAAATTAAAATCTCAACTTAAATTTTAGTCTGTTCTCCATACATGAGCTGCTTTTACAGATAATTCCTATAACTCAAACACTAAAGAATCATGGGTCATGGGTTTAATCCCCAGGCAATGCAATGCATGAACTGATCAAAGGATATCTTGAATGCAATGTATGTTGCTTTGCTTTGGAATGCATAAATGCTTTGTAATTTTTTTCACAATTCACCTTTCATTTTTGGCTGACTATCACTACTACAGATAACATTGCTGTGGTATTTGATATTCAGATTTGCACTGAAGATGCTGTTTCAACACCGTGAAGTCTAATATGATTGGTGTCATTTATGATTTCTCACCAGTACTGTATTGCAGCCTCCTACTATGCTGAGGCCGAGCCCTGGGGTTCCCTTGCAGATATCAATGGTATTTATACAGCCAGGTATGATGGGACATGTTAGGGGGTCAGAGCTCACAGAACATTGGGTAAAGTAAGAAGTGCTGTGAGGCCCCGTGCAAGTGCTCTGATTGGCCGTGGAGCCGCAGCGAATGCTCTCATCAGCTGATGAAATGCCAGATGATGGAGGAGTACAGTGGCTGGGGGACATGTGACTGGCAGGATGACAGGAGGGCTTATGATTGGATGTGGCATTGATTGGAGCAGGAAGCCCGATGTTGAGGCTTTCTGAGGAGCGAGACTTCAGTTTATCCTCTGTGCTGATCCTTCCGGCCTATCGACAAACAGAAACATGAGAATAAAGAGAATGAGAATGAAGCAGGCGGATAGTTTGTGTCGTGTTTTTGTCTAACATTTGTTTTGACTGATTTACCTGTGACAAAGCTAAATGTTGACCTTCTCTGATGCTATTAATATGCATGGCAGGAGATACAACAGGACAGTTGTCCATCTAAACAGATAAAACTGTTATTAGATAACACAAGTGACAAAGATGTCCAGTAAAAAATTTAAAATTTAAGAAACTTGTCAGAAACATGCAGATATATGCAAATATAATGTAGTGAACTTGTTCAGAATGCTTTTTTGATAATGATTTGATTTGTTAATCAAGGATATCTATAATTATTGTGTCTTTTACTGTTTTAAGAAGTATCTTAGTTTATTTGTTTGTGTGTGTGTGTCTCCATTGCCTCCTTTACTGGTCCTGTAGTCAATTGTTTCTGTGCAGCTTTATTCCTGATGAGAAAAATTATGTATGTGCATTAAAATAAATAACACATACACACTATATATAGTAGGATACAAAGTCTGAGCCTTTGTGAAAAGGCTTCTAGCTTGATTTCAAGTTTCATACAGTATTCATGCACATATACAGTGTGTTTGAGTTGGCAAAGACCTAAAGTGCAGAATATCTTCCTTTGTTTTAGTCTTACTTTTTCCGTTTCAAAAAAACGAATATAAATGAACTATGTATATTAAAATGCATGTAGAAGAGAGCTTGTGTTAATCTGCGTTCACATGAAAATGTCTCACCTTGTGAGCAGAATGCTGACTTTAGCTGGAGCATTGTTGATGATTGCTGTTGCATTCTGGTGGCTGCGTCCATACAGCACTTGTCCATTTATCTTCAAAATACATACATATACATGCTGAAGATTAACCCTTGACCTTAGATAAGACACATACTTCACTGCGGTTTGCTCTTTTAGTTATATTGGGGAGACTGGGGGCAATTGTAACATTTTTACTTTGTCCTTAACTTACAGACTAATGCAAATCTACATACCATCTTTTGATATTACTTTGTGTCTCAAATAAGAGGCTAATATTAAAAAAGTAATGCAAATTCCTTTTATTTCTTGTTAATAATAATACTGATTCTTTTACTTCTAATACCTTTCACTCTTAAATGGGACGTATAAAGCTGTCAAATGTGTATTTAATAATAATGATGTGTATTCAATTAGATAATGCATTTGATGTGTTTAATATATCTGATAATTATATGAAAATGATTAGAGTTGTCTAAAATAAGATGAATCATTTTCACTATATATGTATTACTCAATATTTATCTAATAAATATAGAAATATTAGCTGATGAGCACAACATTTAAACTAAGCAGTTTAATGAAAAAACTTTATATTATATAAAATTATATTATATTGTTACAATCAAATTTCGCATGGTAGCTACCAGTGACAGTATAAGCATTTGTGACCCTGGAACACAAAACCAGTCATAAAAGGGTACATTTTTCGATTTATACATCACCTGAAATCTGAATAAATAAACTTTCCATTGATGTATGGTTTGTTAGGATAGGACAATATTTGGCCGAGATACAACTATTTGAAAATCTGGAATCTGAGGGTGCAAAAAAATCTAAATATTGAGAAAATCGCTGTATTTATTCAAATGAAGTTCTTAGCAATGCATATTACTGATCAAAATTAAGTTTTGATATATTTACAGTAGGACATTTACAAAATATCTTCATGGAACATGATCTTTACTTAATGTCCTAATGATTTTTGGCAAAAAAGAAAACTCAATTTTGCGACATCAATTTTGACCCATACAATGTATTTTTGGCTATTGCTACAAATATACCCCAGCGACTTGAGACTGGTTTTGTGGTCCAGGGTCACATTTGTCATTGATGGTAACTTTTAAACAATAATCTACAGGAAAAAATAGGCATCAAACTTTAGATACAACAGTTTCTGTTGGCCAGTCAAGAGTTCAGGAGGTCGTTCTCACCTCCAGTAGTTCATCTCCCACTCTGACCCGACCATCTGCCGCAGCAGCCCCGTCTGGTTTGATCTCTGACACATACACACTCATTCTACCACGAGCTCCATCTCTGTTTCCTGACAAACACAATCCCAGTCCAGAGCTGTGTGAGCCACAGTCCAGATCAAACATGTGCAGCTCTCCAGGCAGACTGCCATACCTCTGCTGCATGCGGTCTGCTTACACACACATAAACATGTAAAAACATCCAGATGAAACCATATAGACACATTAGCACTAGCAGACACACTAATAGAGGCACTGACTTGTATTCAGAGCTAATGATACTTTTGCTCCTCTAAGCTTGGTATGTATATTAAGTATGTTTTATTAAGTAAATATGTTTGATGAGTTTCCTTGTTGGGAATGATTCACTGCTCCGCACAATGTAGGTGATTTCAGGTTGGACTGTCTTTAGGGGACATTTGGCCCCCTTTATGTAGGCGAAACCTGAGCCACACACAGACACATTTAAACATACTCCAGTAAGAGGCCTGCTGCTGCTCGCTGTGATGATGTGCAGCCTCTTCTGGCAGGGGTGGTCTCTCTGGAACCCTCTGCACTCCATCTGTTTCTGTGTCGACTTGCCTAGAGGGCAGTTTCAGGAGGGGGGGAGCTAAATGTGGAGGCTTCCCCAACTGCCAGTCTTCTGTACGCTACAACAGCACCATCAAAAAGTGATTATATTCTTCAGAAAACACATTATTAAATAAGTTATTTTTTTAAATCTCTTTCATTGCATTTTTACTGCTCAGCCTCAACAGTATTTTACAACATGGCTGACAAAAATCTGACAAAAATAAGTGTGCATAATTGTATTAAATGTGCACCTTGCAGTGTTTTTTTTAAACAGTACTTGCAAATAATATAATATTAATAATTGAGTGAACATAAAGAGAGTACATTTTCATGACAATGTTTGGTAACACTTTATTTTACAGTGTCCTTGCTCATTCATAATGACAATAAATTATGCATAATTACATACAAGTAACCCTAAAACAAGCCCTAATCCTAACCCTAACCATATAGTAAGTACATTAATATTACTCAGTACTTAAATGTATAATTACACTGTAACAAGAAGACCTTAAAATAAAGTGTAATCCTATGTTTCTTAATACACTTTGTAATAATGAAAATTAAAAGGTTTACTTTAAAGTCAAGTTTAAATCATGTTTTAATATCTTATGTGGGGCTTTAAAGAAGAAGTATCTTATTTTGGTGTTGACTAACATACTAAGCCACATGTGAGGTAACTGATTATAATTTTAACTGGTGTGTTATTCAATATTACATTCAAAGTTAATGCATGTAATGTACTGCAACTGCAACTTCATTATTACAAATGTGTAATTACAAATATATTTAAATACATGGCATACAAGTTTCAATAAAAATATAATTAAAGTTATGAAAGTATTGAAGTACTGTTTCAGTTTATCATAAATGTTGTACATTTGGCAGCATTTCATTTAAGTCCTGTTTTTAAAGGTATAATTTTGAGTACCTTCACAAGGGTAGTGGAACAATATGTTCCCTTTCAGTCAGTCACGTTCTACGTTACGTCAGTCGTGACTGACGAATTGGGATCTCGCCCGAGAGCCCAATCCCCTTCGAGTGTTAACTAAACAAGCCAATGACAGTTGGCGTGCGTGTTTCGCCACGCGCACCCCGCCCTGCAGCGCGGGTATAAAAGGAGAGC